TAAGTACACGTGTTCTCAAAGTTGCTTATTTATTGAGTATATAGATGTTATAAATTAATTAACTTTATATTATTATTAATTAATAAGGTATTAATATTCTTTTAATAACTATATAAGTTAATTAAATTCACATTATTATTAATCAATTAAGTATTAAGTGTACATATTCTTCTAAATTTTTTTCCCGAGTAATATTGCTTTGTGAAAAATGCTTCAAAATTCCGAATTTAAAATTTAAGCCTGGTTTTAATGACCACTCCAGAGTTAAATTCAGACGTGAATTTTTCCAGAGTTATGTTGTAAGTCTGGGGGCCGTAAGTGAAAATTATGTCTAGATACATGTTTAGGTGGGAAAAATCAATAACCGTTGCACAGAAACTTGACACGTGTCCCCAAAGATACTTATTTATTAGTATTATAGATATGCATGTATATAAATTAATTAATTTTATATTATTATTAATTAATAAGGTATTAATATTGTTTTAGTAATTATATAAATTAATTAAATTCACATAATTAATTAATTAATTAATTAAGTACACGTGTCTCCAAAGTTACTTATTTATTAGGCATATAGATGTTATAAATTAATTAACTTTATATTATTATTTATTAATAAGGTATTAATATTATTTTAATAACTATATAAATTAATTAAATTCACATTATTTATTAATCAATTAAGTATTAAGAGTACATGTTCTTCTAAATTTTTTCTCGGGTAATATTGCTTTGTGAAAAATGCTTCAAAAATCCGAATTTGAAATTTTAAACCCGGTTTTGATGATCACTCCAGAGTTAAATTCAGTCGTGAATGTTTTTAGAGTTATGTTGTAAGTCTGGGAGCCGTAAGTGAAAATTGTGTCTAGATATATGTTTAGACGAGAAAAATCAATAATTGTTGCATAGAAACATGACACGTGTCCCCAAAGTTACTTATTTGTTAGTATTATAGAAATGCATGTATATAAATTAATTAACTTTATATTATTATTTATTAACAAGGTATTAATATTCTTTTAATAACTATATAAGTTAATTAAATTCACATTATTATTAATCAATTATTAAGAGTACATGTTCTTCTAATTTTTTTCCCGGTTAGTATTGTTTTGTGAAAAATGTTTCAAAAATGCTAATTTAAAAATTTAAACCCGGTTTTGATGACCACTCTATAACACCCCATATAACATATTGCATGTGACACACATACCGAAGAAATACATGTTTATACCACATTCAGGTCCCTTAGTACAAGAAATCACTATACAGAATACATGACTCAAAAATTCCAAATACATTTCTTCTACTAATCATCGTTCATTAATCAAAACTGTACATATCAGAAACAATTCTTCATGTAGATATGTATCTAGGAAAATATCACATTTTCTCCTTCCCCTTACCATCCGTACCTCCTGCAATACATATTTAAAATCACAAAACGAGGGTTAGACCGAAAAGGTCTAGTGAGATACCCTATTTATGAAATTGCAAGGTGAAATCACCAACACTTTGTACAAAAATAATTTTTTCATATATATAACAAATATATGAACAAATAGGAACATAGTATCAATACCTTTCCACCTTTCAAGCCAAGAATTTTGCTATTCAAATAATATACCTTTAAACAAACCAGGTTCCATATAATGTCACTTTTAAATCTTTTCTAATTAACAAGGTTTATTTAAAGTTTCAGGCCAAACCTGTTATTTTCTCCTCCATAATATCCAGATTATGATTTTCAATAAGAACTTTGATCCCAAATCTTTAAATCACAAAAAAATAAAGATTCTAGATCACGGTAGTCTTAAGGGATATAATAGAAAAAGTTATATCTTATCACACACATACAAATGTCACCCTTATATCAAATGTACACATCTCCTTGATATGCCACCCTTATCCCATGTTACACATCTCCTTGATATGTCACCCTTATCTCATGGTACACCTCTCATTGATATGTCATCCTTATCACATGTACACTTCTCCTTGATATGTCACCCTTATTTCCTCATCAAAACATTTTACGAAAATAATTCCAAGTACACCGCAGTCAATGAAATTATTATCATTCCAAAATCATTTGTATCAAAATTCCCATTTTATAATAAAATAATATTTTTTTTATGAATCAAGTACAAGGTATAATACAAATCCGGTCAACATAAATGTTAGGACTGAAAATCAGTATATAATTGTATTCGTCTTGAAAGATAATTTTGTCTATAATTATATAAAAGTCATCGTGTTTGACTTTTCTTATAGAAGTTTGACTTTGATCTTGTTTAGCTGTTTAACCCTATAAATAGGGTGATATCTTGTAATTGTATGAGAGGAGCTCATTTGTAAGATTCATATTACGTATAGTGAAGTTTGACCAGATTTGAAGTGTTGACTATTTCTCTCTTCTCCATCTCTATAGAAATTATCAGATATGCCATTGTTATGAAGTTTATATGAAGATTGATCATTGTAGGGACACACAATTGGTATCAGAGCAGGTTTGCATGAAATCAGAAAAAGAAATCAATTTTTTTAAGAAATTTTTTCTGTATTTTTCTTGGTGTTCATCTCGTTCTTATTTTTTTTCTTGAGTTTGATCCGAAATTTCTTCAAAATTTTATGTTTTTGTGTTAATTTTGGGATCATTTTGTACATAATCTTGTTGTGAATCTTTGTTTTATACAAAGATTTGCATTTTGATCATCTGATTCCAATTTTTTGATGATTTTGTGTTTTTAAAATTCTTCGTGTTCTTAAAAAGTTTTGTAAAATTCTGTTTTTTTATCCTTTTTTGTTTGAATTTTTTAAGTGTCTTGTGTTTGTGGCTGAACGGATTCTCTAAATCGCTCAAACAATTTTTAAATCGCCTATTTTTTTTGTAATCTTGAGTATATTTCAGCCCAATGCCCATTTGATTTACAGCCCATACCTTAGTTTCATCACTTGCTTCTTGACCGGATATTGGTTTTATCGCACGATTCTTGACCGGACTTCATAATCGCTGGCTTATATCTTGACATGATGAGCGATTTACAGTTTGCTGTGAGCGGTTTACAATCAGGGGGTGTTTGGGATTGCTTATTTAGGATGCTTATCAACTTATTTCAGTTTCGTACCGCCGATAAGTTATTTCTAGTGTTTGGATGAGAAAAAAAGAAAACGGCTTATACCGGTGCCAAACCGGTAATAAGCAGTTTTTGATAAGTTAAACCATCCTGACTTATCAAAATCGACTTTTGACAGATTACCCTTTTAACCCTGTTACCTTTCTCTATACCCTAACAAACGAGAACCACAACAGCCCTGTTACCTTTTCTCTCTATACCCTAACAGAGACGAGGAGAACCATGGCGGTTGGAGATGGTGATGGTCTCATCGTCGCCGACAATCTCGATC